TACTGATACAGAAAATATTATAATGTGCGCATTACAAAATTAATCAAATACTATGATGATATATATGATTTTTCATTGTAGAAAAATTAAAATTTTAACTTTTTGTAAATAATATCATGAAATTTTAATAAAACGTTTCACTAATAGGAGCAAAAAAATTGTAATTTAAAATAAATGTAGTCAATATTTATTTAATAAAAACCCCAAATTAAGTGTAACAATAATACTAATAACAAAATCCTTAAGACAGACAACTCGTATTAGAAAAATCAGCCTTGAATGCAAACGCATGAGATGATTCTCTTGAATCGATGCACAGACTTAAGACTATTCGTTATTTGGCGTAAAAAGTTGTCTCGAATGTTTTTAACTTCAAGTAGATGCCATATTATTAAATTTAATAATTTATGTAAAAGTATAACTAATTTAATGAATGAATTTAAATAAAACAAGATATTAATACAGTAAAACCTGTCTAAAATGGAATGAGACTGAGTTTAGCTTTCCTGTCCTAATATTGCTTAATACACTTTTTAGTATACCAACGGACTTATTATTCCATACTTTCAATAACGAAGACAAATAAATTAACTTAAAAGAAACAACTGTTTTCAAGTATGCAGTGTCAAAGGAGTCTGCAGGGGGAAAACGAAGCAAGGAATCAAGTAAAAAATTCTGCAAGTTATCATCTGAAAAGTGATTGTGATATGTAACCTTACACCTTCGACCATGGCTGTATTCTACAATCTACTTGTGTACAAAACTCCAATAAATTTTTATTTAATTATTTGATATTTTGATGTAATTATTTGTCTCGAAACTAGGCCCTCCTGGAAAATTTTCATCTGTGCAAGTGAATTATTTCCAGTATTGCAGTTGTGTAGAGGTGCGGTTTTCGGTTAAGGAATAGGATGGTAACAAGGAAGTGACTTTCTGGATGTGAAGTTATGTAATAATGGTGGACTAAAAATTGTGACTAGAATTATTACAGTATATAGTATTTGTGCTTTTATGGTTTTACGGAGAGGTAAAAATCATGCTTGCAATATCTTCCGATGCGTGGGATCTAATTAAAGTTTTAAGGTTTTTATTATTTGATTTGGTGTAGTGTTTAGTAATTAAAGTTATAGATTTAATAAGTAGATCGGTACGGATTACCTGCTTCAGTGTATTTTTATGTAAATTTCAGTAGAGGAGGAGTCGTGGAGAGCTCGAAATGTATACTGAAAAATAAAGCTGTTTCTTTAATTAAGTTAATTTATTTATCTACTCGTTATTGAACGTACAAGTTCGGAATAATAATAGTCCTTTGATAGACTGAAAAGTGTATTATGGAATGATACGTTACTAGACAGAATTTTCCATTTTACAGGGGATTATATTTTTATTAATGGAAAAAAAAGAGAAAAGTTGAAAAAATAATAAATTCATATTACATTCAGTTGCGCAACATTTAGAGAACACATTTCACGGAAGAAAATATACATGTCAAAAATAAGATATTTGCAATTAATTCTCAAAAATATTTCACAAATCAATACACAGATTTTACGATTGCCGATTAAAGTTCACAAATTTACCAACGAAGAGTAATAACGAAAGAAAAGTCTTCACGATTTAGTGAAAACTTTTCGCGAAAGAAGCGAAATAATTCAGAATAGAGGCTTCGTATTTTACATATTAAAGAATGGTTTTAAATAAATCTAAGACAAATTATTATCACGGTTTCAATAATAATTCTTATTTTAGTTCGATCGTTTCACTTTACGAGGGAAATGCTACAAAAAGCATATACTTGCCTCTGTTGTAACTTGTTACCAATATGGTTATTCATTTACTTCAAAAAAATATGTAGCATATATTTTTATATTGTATATAAAACATCGTTTTATCACGGCATATTACTTTATCAAGAATTCGCGTTGTATATTTTTATACATCGTAGTATTAAAATGTATATCAAAGAAACCTACGATGTTACAAGAAATGAAACTATTTAATTAAAATTAGAAATAATGTTATGGAAACCGCGATAATACTTTGTTTTAGATTTATTAAGTTGTGAAATCTGTCGCCTGTATTCTGGTTAATTAATGTCGCGCGTTTCATAAAACATTTTGACTAAATCGCGAAAAATTTTTCTTTCGTTATTGCAAGCCGTTGGCAAATTCGTGAACTTTTAATCGTCAATAGTAAAATTTGTGATTCGTGAAATCTTTATGAGAATAAATTACAATGATGATCTTATTTTTGAAATGCATATTTTCGCTCAACTCTGCAACAGAATGTATAACTATTTCATTGATGTAACTAATTTCCATATAACTATTTCTCCATTAATGTGAGTGTTTTATGTTTCGAAGACATTTTGAAAACATCGAAATTATGTAAAAGCCCAAACGCACACGGAATTTGTTTTAATTGCGTTATTCTCAAGAATAGCCAGTACTTAATATCGTATAGTTAAATTAACACAGAACAAAATTTTTATTAAAATAATTATTCTTATATTATCTATAAGCGTAATCACTTTTACAAATTAATTATTATTATTCCTCGTGCTAATGTTTTATTGCATTAGCAAGAGGAATAATAAAGCAAAGTACCGAAATTTGACTAGTTCTAAAAATTTTACTTTATGGTAACAACTTATTTCTACTTTAGTTAATACAGTAGAGTCTCGAAAACTCGGCACTCGATAACCCGGCAGTCCGGATAACTCGGCCACAGCCTGGCAGGGCAAAAAAATCCTTACTTAATTAATTTTTATTATAGACAGCTTTATGCCTCATAAAGTATTTTTTGAGGTCTGTCTTATCAGGTAAATTACTGTACACAGTGTATTCATTAATTTTCATTTTCATGTAGTAAAGGCTCTGTGCCTTCATAAAGGACGTACTTTTCCTTTGTTTAAGGGTATTTGGGCAGTTTATTTTCTGTTGTATTCTCAAGTAAACAATACATACAAGTACAGTATAGTATTTTCTGAGGAAACAGTATTTTATCGGGAATGGGTTTTTATTAACCCCATTCCCGATAACCCGGCATTTTCACAAACTCGGCCACCCTTCGGTCTACATTAGGCCGAGTTTTCGAGACTCTACTGTATCAAGAAAATTAAAACGCTTAGCCTAATTGCTTGATAACATTTATTTACAAAGAAATGAAAGCACATAAAATTCTGTTTTATTTTTAATAACTACATTTTTAAATATTTAGCATGTAACTTTTTCCAAAGATGGTGTATATTTTTTAAATATTTATTACTCTTGGGGAACGAACTCTTGCAGACAGAGAGAAATTGCGGTACAGTGTCCTCGCAAAACAAACAAATAAAACTACTTTCCAGGCAATAAAAATATAATCTTAAGAAAACAACAGTAACGGGAATGAGTTCTATAAAAAAATTCTAATAACGAGTAAAATCGTCATTAAGTCTGACCCTACTCGAGATACGACACACGATTCCTCTTTACCTCCCAACCCTTCGACCTTTAACCAGTAAAATTAAATAGCGTCAATCCTCTTAATACACAATCCTCCCAGCAAAATTTCAGAAATTTTCGACAAAAAAGTACAGGAGTTTCAAAGAAGCTTCAAAGTAGATGAACAAAATCATGCCACCCACCTACACCCACACCCATACCCACACTCTAATATCCATACATAAGAAGAAACCTCGAATTTTTTTGCATTTCTCGACATTTCAAAGTCCCGAGTCCAAAAATATAAAAATCTTGGAGGTCATTTCTTCACCGTTCGTTACATTTTCCCTCTGTTATATATAACAGAGCGGTGATAGTAAAAAGTAGGCCTATTTCTATCATTTACAGGCCTAAGTGATGCGTCAAATGTGTTCGTGGGCCAGATTAATTTATGCAGCGGGACAGATTTGGCCCGGGAGTTGTAGTTTGAGCACCACTGTTCTACTGTTTCGTTTGAGTTTATTTTTTTCAATGCTTGCAATCTATGCATTCAACTGTATTCTACATTTATTTGTCTACTTATTTACTGTACACGACTTTTCTTGGATGGTGAGACTGATGCATTCGTGCCTCCGAAACCATTACATTCTCTATAGCTTTTATAGACTATGTCAACGATCTCCATGGAATAGTGTATTTTTTATTTTTATCCTGCATTTTTTAAAGACTTTATCATTTCCCTTAGTAGAATACAATAGTATTTTGTGTGATCAGAAAAATGAGGTTTTGGTAGTTTCAGATCATCCACTGTGGACCTGTCTTCAGGGTGGACTGGCTCGTGCCACTTAAAGTGTCACTTTTTCTTAAATCCTCAGTTTGACATGATGCAATATGATCTTTGCAGATTTTGTGCCAAAAATCAAATCAATCAATCAATAAGTTTAAAATAATTACAATATTAAAATGTTAAATATTTAAATTAAAATTACATTTATATATTTCGCTTTAAAATAATTTTATAAATAATCACGTACTTTATAATGTTTGATTCTTTCCATCCTGCGAACACCAGGAACAAATTTAGAGGTGCAGAGGTTCAGAAAGAGGTGTAGCTGCGCCCTGTATACAAAAGGTGCACAGGGCGCAAGTTTCCAGCACTTTCTCGGAAAATTTTCTAAGTAAAACTGCACTTTATGTAGTAAAAATGTTTGTATTGCATATTGTTTCCTTTCTGCACCCTCTAAAGATTTCTAGATCCGTTATTGGTAGGCACCAAAATAACCTTTCTATTCATAACCGTCGTCGTCGGTTCGGCCAACACATCTAGGAGGTGATAGTGGTTCGAGATGAGACCTAACATTTCGGGACAGACCATTCCCCGAAAATAGGTTTTTGTCCCACCTGGATTCGAATCTCGGTTTCCTAGTTTTAAATGAAATCATCGCGGTTAAGGATGACGCGTTAATTAACTGCCTCAATGATTTCGTTTTAAAACACGTGACGTTATTATATATTTTATTAAATATTATTTTAACTAAGTCTTGTTGTATTAAGCAATAATGGCAAATTAAAAAAATTACTATTGTTGCAAATAATATTTTTGTCTGATAACAAAAAAAATTACTGTACATTATTTGTCACAATTCATTAAAACTGTACATCAAAAAAGTATTTTTATTTTGAAAATTCGTATTCAAGATTTCTATCGGTAAGACTATTTCAATATGGCAACAAAACATTTTAAAAATGAAAGCAAAATGGATTTCAGGTTTGTAATAGAGAATTTATCTTATAAATTTGTGCAAAGATTTTGAAAAAGTTTTAAGTTTTATCAATTTTATAGTCTGGCAGATATTAGTCTTCATAACGATCCCAGTAGACAAGAAAGATCTCTTACTATTCATAATAATACATCTTTTGCTCTTGCCTTTAGGGTATAATTTTTTTCCACTTAATTGTGTTTACTTATTGTTTTTTAATTTAAAGTTCCATTAAACTTTAGATAAAATGTAGTGACTCGGCCTTCAAAATCAAACCACAAACAGGAATTCTTGCCAAAAAAGGTTCCAGCGCAAATATAAATGTCACGTTGTTACCAAGTAAGTTATTCAATTACAGCAGAAGTTCGTTAATCTGGCACATGATAACCAGAATTTTTGATAGTCAGGCACCCTCTGAAATGTAACCGATAAGATGACCGGATGGTTGAGGCGGTTAAAAAGACAACCTACTACTTTATGGGATCCGGAATCAAATCCGGGTAAACAACTCTCCGGGAATTTTTCGTATGTGATTTAGCTTGAATATGTTGAGTTCCTCTCTCTTATCCTGCCGCCCCATTGTGGGCCTGGCCGTACCCACAATGCCTGTGGATAGAATGGTCCTAATATTAAGCTCAAAAGAGATCAAAGATAAAAAAAAGTTGAGAAACACTACTCTAGAGACGCCGGACGACAATCCACAAGGTGTGGGTGCCGTCGTTCAGATTGCTATGTGAGCGAGGGATCGAGAGTAATGGGTGATCTTAACACAATATTAGTCAAGCACTGTATTATAAATAGCATGCCTAAACAAATCGGAAGTATACAGCAGCGTGCAATGGTACAAAATGTGTAGCAATTTCTGCAACGTTCGAATAACATGTAATTTATCGAATTTTGCGAAAATACAAAGACGTCTGGTAATCCGGTATTTTCGGCTCTGGTAATTTAGATGCCGAATTAACGAACTTCTGTTGTGTTTCAAGTTTACAGCAGTATTATATTAAATGTTTTAGTTAATGTTTTCAGACAGGAAAAGCTCGAAAAACATAGAGTATTCTGCCCTATTTACTTCTACAGATAATAAAAATCTTACTGAAGATGAAATAAATAAACTGTTTGACAATTCATCCGAAAGTTTAGACGAATAGTAAATTCTCTTTTTATTTACTATTTATTTATTATAAAATTCATTTTAAAATATTCATTTATTTTCAGTCTAAAGAAAACATTAATTTCAGAAAGCAAGAATACAGTTATGAGTAGTTTGACTGTAAGAATAATCAAAACAAATCAAAATTACTTAATTTTTGATAAAGAAAATACACAGTTTCATTTATTTCTTACAGAATTTCACAAAAAGTTTTATTTTAAAGTTCATTTTACCTATTATTTTTGCCATTTTTCTAATATGTTACTGCATTGAATAATTTGGCTCTCTTGTATGAAATCGTACCAACTAAATTTTTTAATGAATAATAATTATGCATGTTAACAAATTGAATTAATAAAAATTAGGACTAAATAGATGTTATCTCTATTGTTTTTTAATTAAATTTCCTCAACTTTAATACAAAATAAGAAAAAAGTGAACTTTTAAGAAATTTGCTGGATTTCCCGGGATGAAAAGAATATCCCAGGATATTTCCCGGGTTAAAAAAACAGCCGGGATCCCGTTAGAGAAACCATAGTCGAAAGATAATGGAAGTCGTGTGTATCTCCAGTAGAGTCGGATTTAATGACGATTTTACTCGTTATCAGCATTTATAATTTTTTAGAAAACCCATCCCTACCTGAAAATTAAGCTTCTTGCCATTTTATAATAGTTAAAAATATTAAAAGTTTTAAAATAAAATATCATAACAGATGGCGCCACCAAATGTTACCGGAAAAGTTAAGCAACTCGTTGCTGAATTGTTTTAGACAGATTTCACGCTACATTTTATTTAAATTCATTTATTATAAACATTCTTTTATTTTATTACTTAATTAAAATATTAAAATTTGCAAATTCAACTGTTATCAATCTGGACTTAATTTATTATTCATTAATTTTGAATACTAATTATACATAAAGTGCAAAAGTCATTTCTAATTTAAAATTAAAAATAAAAATCAATTAAATGAACTCTACGTATTGATTTTAAACAAGATCAATCTATTTCTGCATACATTTAAATTTACACTTTAATATGCGAATTAAAGAATAACTATTTTTTTGTCAAAAATAAATATAAAAACTTGTTAATAAAAAGATAATTGAATAATGTTTAAAAATATTAAACATACTTATAATTTTTAATAAAGTGGAATCTCTGAAAAACTGGACTCGGGCCAATCTGAGTCCGTATGAGTATTCATCCAGTAGTAATTTCACTATTATAGGAAGAATTCCAAGAGACAGTGTCAAAGAGGTCTAGGCAAATCCCAAGAGATATTACAACTTGGGACTACTGCTACCGTTTCTTAAATGTGAGACACTACATAAATTTTTTTCTTGGTGAGAAATTAAATACGTTACTTGTGGAGCCGATGAACATCTTAATTAGCATAATTCGTCGTTGCGATAGCTGTTTGGCAGTAGAAAACGATCATATTCCTATTAATCTCTTTCATTGATAATATCAATACCTTAGTACGGAATCCACGATCATTAGTTATCAAAATAAGGACACATGTTTAATTGTATAATGTTTCTCAGCCTAAAAACATATCATATTTTAATCAATTCTAATAAGTGATTTGTTTATTAACAATGACATTTGAGCTTTAATTTTGAATATTTAGTACAATAGCGATAAGTTAAAATATTCGCTTCAGCTTGTTCCTGTTTTTAGTTATTAACGCTTTTAACAAATATATGTATATTAGTTTAGTTTATTAAATTATAATTTTTCAAAGTAATATAAGTTAATTATCAACGACAAATTATTTATTGCGACATCGTCACAATGCCGGGCTGCAATTTTTAATCATATTTTTAATTTAAAATATATGCTCTTCACATCAAATTAATAGTTTCTTGCCTCTGTACATCATACTTTTCCTGATAACAAACGAATTATGCCGGTCATCTATCTAACTCCTTGCAAGGGAAAATTTTTGAATTGAAATAACGTGACTTACGGTCCAAATTGAAAATTTGAATATAGTTAATCAGAGCTTTCTCTCCCCAAGCTTTTCATATCTAGTTTAGATTTACATATATCTAACTCCGTTCTCGAGATTAAGGAAGGACAGACGGGCAGACGTACAAACGGACGCAGTGGAAATTTATAGGTTTACAATTTTTTCAAATTGCAGCTAAATAATCTACTGAATGACTGATTCACATTATGCTTAAACATAAATAATAATATTTTAGTTTCTCAGAGCGCAAAACATGCATTATTATTTAGGTATCGATTATCATTTTATATATTAAAAATAATAGTCTAATAATAAATTTTTAAACGTCTTAAAACTATATGATTTAGCTTAAATTTTATATCAAATTAATAAATTTTTAAACTTACTGCATATAAATAGCTTTAATGAAAATTCTTTCTGCGAATATTTCATTCAGCAGAGAAGAAACGTTTAATTTATTTTTAATTGTTTGATCTAATTGATATTTTCTCAATAAATCAGGAATTTTTTTTGCTGTCTTTAATATTAAACATTCAATTTCTAACAATAAATATTGCATAATTAGCAATAAATATGAAATTTTTTTTAAGACTGCTTTCATTTATAACAGTTCAAAAGTAGATGCGTTTGAGAAATTAAAATCGAACGAGTATGCGAAGTAAGTTTTTAGTATTTTTAGCGAAAATTTTAATCTATCTTTAATGATACTTTTATGTTGGTAGTTGTTCGACACTTCTATTGAATGCGTGCCAATTGAGAAATTGATGTTTTTAGTTGGAGAATAATTAGCAATATAATATAGTGGTAGAATATAAATTTAATAAAATAGTCTACAACGAATAATAATTATTATAACTACACTGCTATAATAATAATAATATTATTATTATTATTATTAATTGCTTAATTAAATGCTTAAGTTTTCTATATTAAATATAAATATAGAAAAAAATTAAGCATTGAAAAGGCTAATGAAATAAAAAAATACTTGATTGAAAAATCGGAAGTAAAGTAGTAGTAATTCGATTTTGTAGATCGATTAATTAACTTGTTTAAACTATTTTTATTTTTTTATTTTCTATAAATTTATATATTGTATTTAATATTAAATTATCAAATTTATAAACTAATAATAATTAAAATATTGCCTCAAAGCGATAATGATTATTCGTTTTGATATTGATAAGTTAAAAATAAATTTTCAAGACAATTAATTTAAAAACCTAATGCGAATCAATTTTTTTTTTAACTTGGAAACAAAGCAACAGTCAAGTTCGATATATCCAATTTAAAAAAAGTTCTGTGATATGGAGATGAGATAAAAACGTTGCCATAACTACTAGTGACAATATACCAACTTGGCAAAGAAACCTATAAAAATCATGTTTGAAATCTGCTTTTGCTCTCACAACTTTTCCATATATATTTTATGGAAACTGGCTAAAATTTTTATCACGAAACTGTAGATCCCTACATCCGTTTCTATTTATTAGTAATGATTATTATCTTATCCATTTTTTAATTTGAAATCGTTTAGATAAATAATATTTTAAACAATTTAATTTTTAAAAATAAACGTAGATTCAATAATTAAAAACAAAGTCTTAATTCGGTAAAATAAAGAAGTATAATTATCTAAAGAAAAGCTCTAAAAAGTTTAATTATCATATTATTGTAATATAATATACTTATATTTCGCTACGGAAAATGTTTTATTTATATTTTGCTGATTTAAAATTTTATTAAGTTTAGAATAATGAAATAAAAATTGCATTAAAATTTTAAAAGTTTACATCATTAATTAAAATATTTATTTTGGAAAAACTCTTTTAAAATCCTATAAATATCATACCCATGCTTTAACTCTACCATATCGGTTGAGGAATAAATTTTCGAAATGCATTACTATATTGCATTCATCGATTTTCTCGAAGTAGTTGAGCTTCGAAAGTTATTCTTGACTTTTCCATTTTATATCAGTTTACTTTCTAATAAAATTTAATAAAACTAAAGAAAAGTGTTTAAATTTCTCCAGAAAAAATCATTTAATAATATAGGTCAAGATAATTAATAAAATATTCACAAATATTCAATCGTCTTATTTTGCTTGCGTATGCTAAAAATTAAGTTATAAAATGCATTATGGATGGAAAATTGCTTATTAATAAAATCAGTCAAGATTTTTAAAGGCATATAAATGATTTTTAAAATTTCTTTATATATTTATCGTAAGATCAAAATAATTTTTATATTAATTAATAATAATTACAAAAAATTCTGTAGTATTATCATTTATTAATAAAATTCGTATTTAATTATTTCATCAATAGAAATATTTTTAAAAAAACTACTTTCAGGAAAGATTTGATCAAAACTTTAAAAATTTCAAGAAGAAAACGATTTCAAAATCGGAAGAAAAATTAAATTTAAATAGAAATAAAATTCAATTGATAATTTAAAATTAAATCAGAATTTTTAAAATTAAACTTTGTAATTAAGTTTAATGAGTTTTATGATAGAAGTCTTTTAATGTCAATTTTTTATTTATGAAAATCATTCATCTTCTATTAATGTAATGCTTCTGATTTTCTAGTTCAACAATTCCTAGAAATAATGTATCAAAACGATATATCCTTACTTGGTAAATATATTAAATATATTTACCAAAGAGACATCAATTTGCCAACAGGACTTGAAATCTAATGAAGTTAACATCTATAGATTGGAATGTCTTATTTATTTATTAATAACTTTTACAATTTATAAATTAAATTCTTATATTTACATTTGTAGGACACAAGTTTTATTAAATGACAAACTTTGGAATCGAAATGAGACCTAAAAATCTGATTTAGATAAAGTCAGTATATATATAAAATATTAAATTAAGGTGTTGTGGTTTGCTTGATTGATTATATGTCCATTTAGTCAGTATATTAAATTTTCTTACTTTTTAAAAATTTTATTAAAATTAAATTGGCAATTTCAATCACGAATCCACGTAAGTTTTGTACATCGCATCAAGGATTTCAGTATAAAAAATTCAGAACCTAAATTACACTATGAGACAGAACTTAATATAAATTATGAACGATTTTTAATAAAAATTGTATTATTTAAATTGAGATACGAAAGCATTTTATAAATCGAATAGTTTATAACAATAACATTTATTTTAATAATTTCAAACGCAATTCTATTTCTGATTGAACTTAAATGATATAATATTAACAATCGTAAATCATAACTTTTATTAAAAGAAAAGATCTTAATAATATAAATTAAAATTTCATTAATTAATTTTAAAGCTAAACATTAATTCTTGTATATATTTTTTATTTAAACTATTATTAAAATTTAATACATTTTTGATAATGACTCGCTATATTATATGACGCATAAAATATAGGCTACAAGATAACTTAACTGACAAAAGATGGAGCAAGAATGTAATATTGAATTTCAATGTCAATTATTTATTACTAAGATTTTTCAATAATAATTTGCATGAACATAATAAATTAAACAGAGTTAATCTTACTAAGAATTTTAAGGATTATCAAAATTACTTTTAAAAGAGAATATCAACAAGTGGACATTGTAATGATGTAATTTAATGGAAAACTTAGAGT